TCCCCCCCCCCCCCCCCCCCCCCCCCCCCCCACACACCACTTCACCCAGGCGCATCGTGTGTGTGTGTGGGTGGATACAGTGACAAGTCTTTCGCCGTTCTGGCGTGTCACGACGAGGCGTCACGGGAGAAGCTGCTCAAGCTGGGCCGCATCCCGCTGTCCTCCGAGACCGCCGGGGCCAACGAGCGCCACGGACTCGCTACCCACGCAGAGTTCCGACCCTACTCCAGAGACCATGTTTCATCGCTCGCAGCCCCCAACAAGTCCGTGAGCATGCAGACACCAGCTTGATTCACTGGTGGATGGATGGATGGATGTGTGTGGGCTGCTTCAGGTACACCCCGAACGAGCACGACGACCGAGACCAGAGGTGGTATGAGCGGCTCCGACCCCAGCAGCAGCAGCACCAGCAGCAGCAGCGGCCCTCGTCAGGCCGCGGAGGCTCCGGCAGGCTCTTCTCGCCCCCCTCCCCGCCGTCCCCTTTGGCCCGACGTCGTGGGTCCTCGCGGCGGTCGCTGTCACGCAGCGGCTCATCGCGCTCTCCATCTCGGTTGAGGTCGAGGTCTCGATCGCTGAGGCGGTCTCGGTCGCGGTCCCGGACGCCCCCCAAGCGCAGGGACACTCGGGGCAGAGGAGACCGCCGGAGCGTCACACCCCTCTCCGGTGAGTACACCAGGGAGAACAGCACAGCTCGCGGACAGCTTGGTGTGGTGGGGTGTTCAGACCGCCGCGCCGTGGCCGTATCGGGCAAAGGTGGCAGTGGTGGGGGTGGGGGTGATGGCAACTCGCCCGGCTTCATCGGTGCCAAGGAGGCGGAGCAGCCCTACGAGGAGCAGCTGGTGGCGTATTTGCGGACTAGGCAGGGCCCGATACGGCTGGTCGAGCTGGACAACGCTGTCCCGCGCCCGCCCAACACCAAGGTGGACCTATACACCTTCGTCAGGTCCAAACCACACACCTTCAAGCTCGGCGGAGGTCGGTGGGCGGCACACACGTCCCCCCAACCCACACACACACACTTCACACACTCGTGTGTGTGTGATGCATGTTGTGTGGCTGCAGCGGGGACGATTGAGCTGGCCGCCACGAAAGGCAGCAGCAACAAGGAAAACGCCCCCAAGCAGCCCCGCAAGCGCACCGCCGACAGCGGGAAGCCCATCGACAGCGGCCACACGGCCAAGAGGGGCAGGGGCGAGGGGAGGGAGACCGACCAGAACCACAGCAACGGCAACCAAGATTGCGTCGCCAAGGCACAGCCAAATAGTGTGTTGGCCAACGGCTACGGTAGGGAGAGCGGTCGTGTTGGCGAGTTGGAGCGAGAGGTG